TGTTATTCATCCCAAAGGCAGAGAGCCGGACTAAAGACCACTAGCGTTTGTTTCCAGCCAATTAGTGATGAAGGAGTGCCCCTGTAGCTGCCCAGCATGTTAGTCACCGTGTTAATCACTCACGTTCAATACGTGCAGTGGGCACGACCACCTGGTAAGATGGATCTTACTGTTCCAGTTTTATGGGTAGAGCTCAGTGCAGTTAAGTGACTTCCCCAAGGTCTTTCGGTTAATAAGTGGCAGAGCAGAAATTCAACTGCCCGACACAAAGTCCAGGCTCTCTCTACTGTACCTGTGTTTAACTGTCGGAGCAGCCATCCCCTGAAAGCTTGACTCCCTAGAAGCCTCTACAGGATGTGGAACCATCGAAGATCTGACTGCAGTGATTCTGGTTCAGCCAAGCGCTGTGCCCTTTCCAAGCGGGAGGTAGGCGTTATCATTATTTTCCAGAGGAGGAAGCTGGAACACAGGACACGTGCAACGGGTCCATGACATTTAAATGGCTGGGCTGGGCTTAAAACTTGGCATTAAAGTATCTCGAGTTCTGATTGACATTCCTTGGGCCCACAACCATTGAATAGAAAGGGCCATTTCTGCTTCACTTGGTAGACCACAGTACTTATGAATTTCAGAATCGTTATCGTGGGGTGATTTTATGATAACGAATGAGACAGTGGCCATCACATGAACCAGGAAACAAAATTCCAAAGCATTAAAGATTTACACAAAAACAAATGGCTTTTATCCAGTAATGGCTGCATTAAACAAAACCCACGTAAATATTCCTTAGATTAAAAAAAAAAAACAGCCTCTGAAGAAACCATGTGGCTTTTTCTCTGTGGCACAGAATTATGAAAACTATTGCTCTTTAACAGAGAAGATTAAAATATAAGAAAAGCAGCACAGTTCTGGCAGGGACAGAAAAATTAGAGTATGCTGTAGGTGGGCACCAAGCAGACTTCCCACTCAACTCTCTCCCTGCACTTGCAGTAAATCTCCATCATCACAATGTTTCCCTAGCCTGGAGAAAGGAGGTTTGGAAGGCAAAAATCGATGTTCAGCAAAACGTCTCATTTTTAGTACTCTGGTTTGTTTTTCTTATTTCTTTGATCATCTTAAACTGTAAGGTTTTCCTCATTCAAAGCAGTTGTTTTATTGCCATGATTTGAAAAATAATTTACCTTGTTGTAGGCAAGGAGACAGCTTCTTGTGAAAGAAAGAGGAGAGAGAGGAGGGTCGGGGATCCCCATCACTTGTCTGTCTCCCTGATGCTGTATCAGTACCTGACAGTGCCTCCCAACGTCCTCTTCTCGAAGCCTACCCACCCCCTCGCCACGCACACCTAGCACCAGATCTAAACTGAAAAAGAAACACCTAAATACTTCATCCATGTGGCTTTGTAGAAGAGAAAACTAAGTAAATCCCACACGCCGATTCAGGGCCACTGCTAGTCAGATGTGTAGCGGAAGGACAGTTTTCATCGAAGACTTGCCATCTTCATCGTAAACATTGTCCCTTTTTTGTGCCTCATACCTGCGTGTCCTGCTCTGGCTGTCCAGGCACCCCTAATTCAGTAACCTATGTAGGGTCTTCTCCAGGCAACAGTCCATGCTCTGTAATTTTTCTTACTTTTTGGCTTCCCTGACTCAAAAATTACTTACACTGCATCTTAATATCTCTCTCTTTTTTAAAAATATATTTTTATTGAAGTATAGTCAGTTTATAATGTGTCAGTTTCTGTATACAGCACAATACTTCAGTCATATAGAAACATAGGTAGATTTGTTTTCATATTCTTTTTCACCATAGGTTACAAGATAATGAATATGGTTCCCTGAGCGATACAGTGTAAACTTGTTGTTTATTTTGTAAATAGTAGTTAGTGCCGGGGGCGGCACACCAGGCTCGTACTCTCTCAAGATTAACTGTCTGTCTGCCCCAAAGAGAATGGAAGTTCTCCAGGGACCTTTATCCGCTTTCTGCACGGGGGATCCCAAGAACAGGGTCTGGCACATGGAATAAAAGAACAGAGCCACCTGTGTCCTTATGTCAGTAGCTACGAGAGCTTGCAGAGCCAGGTAGGGCCGACGGGCATGTTCTCTTTGTCCTGCAGACTGTTTGAAACATTGATCGAAAGTTGGGATCTTGTGTTTAAAACACCTAGCTTCTCTGGAAAAGGTGGAAGATCTGGCAGCAGTGGCAAGTGTCTCCCCTGCCGTGGCCGGGGCATGGCCTTCCCGTGTCCCTCCCACCTGATGGCTTCCCCGCGCTGAGACTGGGTCGGTCCCAGAGTTGAGAAGCTAGGGATAGAGTTTGAGAACACTCCGATTCTTATACTTGGCCTACCATTACCTGGTTTGTTGCTGATGTTAGAAGTTGAGTTTGTGACTCCAGTCTTTATAAACATTTCCTTTCCATGTAATGTCTTTTTGTTTTGCTTAGAGCATCTTGAGGACTTAAAATGTATAATGATACGGTTGGAAATTTCGCACATTGTGGCAGGAGAAATATTTCAGGCTGGTGGAGCTTTGAGGTCACACCAGGGAGGTGACTGCCTTTTCTACCAGTACCTAGGCCCTCGGCTTAGGAAGAATTGAGATCTCTGGGTTCATCTCATTTTCCCCAAAACCCTCAGAAGTTCTGTGGTATGCACTGCCTCTTAGTAATGCCTCTTTTTACACTTGGATGCTGTTTTATTCCAAATAAGCACATTCACGGAGCTATTGCAAAATCTTATCTCAGGCTTAATTCAGTGTGCAAAGGGTATTTCTTGTCACTAAATGTATATGCAATGACGGGTCAACCACAGTCTGCTTAGCACAGGTAGAAGTAGCCAGTTAGAAACTCCTGCTGACAGAGAACAGCAGCGGTGCTCCAGGAAGATCACTCAGGCCTCAAAGGAATTTTTCCCCTTGTTTGGCCATGCGCATAACTAATAATCACTGTATAAGAACAAACCACCCATTTGTTTCACATTTGGGGAAACTCGGTAGCCTCTGAGGGACACAGGTTGCTTTTCTGTATCTGATTGGCTAAGAACCCAACTAACAGAGAGATTCCTGCTAGGAGGATGGGGGGAAATTAGAGCACACAGATGGCAATGACTATGACTTTACCTCAAAGGATGTCGTTGTCAAAGCCAAATCACTTTAATATGAAAGAATCGTTTTTGGTGGAATGGACTGGACTTACAACAGTATACATCCTTAGCCTGACGTTCTTCTTTAGGCTGTGTTCATATTTTGAATATGAAGTTTTATGTTTAGGAAGTCTAGAAGCTCTCTTTTTAAGCAACCATTGTCCAACATATACTAGTTTAAGCTAAAATAACGTATTTAATATGTAGGCATTTTTTCACGTTTAAGGCGCAACAGAAAACGGGCCAGATGAAGTTCCGGCTCTCCCAGAGCTTACATTCAATGTTGTACAATAAACACACGAGCCAATAAGTGGTCTGTCAGGTAGACAGAGGCTGTAGGGGAAAGTGGGGGGAGAGGAGGACGCCTGGCAATGGATGATCTTTAATTTAGCGGGGTCAGAGAAGGTGACATTTGGGCTGGGACCTCACGAAGCAAGGGGGCCCGTCATGCAGAGGCTGCGGGCAGGTGCCCCAGGCTGGAGGAAAGGCAAGTGCAAAGGTCCCCAGTGGCCGTGCTCAGTGTGCTCCACCAGCCAGCGGCCAGCCAGGCTGGAACGGAAGGAGTGTGGGAAGGAGGAGGCGACGTCACAGGGGAGCCAGGCCTCTGGGCCATTGCGAAGACTTCAGAGGTTACGTCAAGGGTGACGTCGAGCTGTCGGAAGGTTTTGGGCAGAGGAGTACCTTGACAGAGTTTATCTTTTAACATCAGTGATGAAGTGAATGATGGTGAGGCACTAATAATGCCTGTCGTAACATTTATTGAGCATCTCTTATGTGCTAAGCACTTGATATGTATTACTGTATTTAATCTTTATACCAGCTGTATGCTGGTAGTCCCTGTGGCCGTGCTCATGGGACAGATGAAGCCATATCTACACAGTTGGTCTTGAGTGACTTGCCCACACTCCTCCAGGCAGTACGTGGTAAACTTAGGCTTAATTAAATAGTGATATTTATTTTCTTTCTCCCCGCTTGATGGAGGCACTGGGGATTGAACCCAGGACTCACGGACCCCAAGCACATGCTCTACCACCAGCCTCTGTTTTATGTCATTGTAGCCTTAAGTGAGAGGAGTCGTGAGGCTCATAGAGATGGTGACTTGCTGATTTTTCTAGACATTTTTAAAGGGTAAGAGTTGTACTATCATACATAACAGTATTATCTTCCGATTAGAGAGAAAGTATTTAAAAGAGCCACCCCAAAGTGAAGCCTCCCAGTTTCCCTGTTGTGCCTCCAGAGCACAGGTCCTTAATCTGCAAATTCAGAATTCTGTCTCAGTGTCATTGATTTCCCTTAAATATTTTTTCAACGCATTAAGAAACATTATTCTGGGAAAAGAGACTGTTGGCTTCTCTAGACTGCCAAAGGGGATCATGGCTGTAGAGACAGTGTTTTCAGAGATTCCTATGAATTCGTTTGAATCTGAGCAGAACTGCTGCAAACAGTAGTGGGTTTATTGTGTCGTTGGGTTTTTTTGGTGTGGGAGGTGAGGCAGTGCTGAGCACACGCCAGGGCTCACAGAGAGGCCAGCTAAAGCGAGGGTGACCACACGTACCAGTCTGACCAGGACTGTTCCAGTTTAAGCTTTTGTCCAGATGTTCATTATTAATATCACCCTTTCACCCTCAGAAGTGTCCCGGTGAAAACCGTCGTGTGACCATTCGCTCTAGCGGTGATCAAGAAAGTAGCGGTTAGTGGATGGAGCGAACTGATTGGTATCGCAGGACGTGGGGGGGGGGCTGCCGACCTCGGAAATCAGACTTATTTTGATAACAAATGGTCATAATCAAAATTAGAAGGTTACACAAAGGAGGTGATGGACGAAAATACTGGATTAATTAAAATTATTTCTCTTTCACAGCAAAAAAAGAGCATAAAATGGAAGAAAGTCACTTGGAGACTGCACAGAAAAGGTAAGCGGCTCTGAACTGGCCCCAAGGCTTTCTCTGACTAGCCGTTCTTTTTTTATTTTTATGAAAAATGTTCGGATTGTTGTGCGGCCATCGCCACCATCCATCTCCAGAACTTTTTCATCTTCAAAGGCAACTCTGTACTACTCACTAAACCATCACCACCACCGCCCCCCGCCCCAATCCTCTCCTCTCTCTCCTCCCTTCAGCCGCTGGCACCACCCTTCTCTTTCCTGTCCGTGACTCTTGACTGCTCTGAGTGCCTCGTGTAAGTGGGATTGTACAGAACTTTGCCTTCCATGCTGGCTTATTTCACTTCATATAGTGAATGACTAGCTCTTCTTTTGACCCCATCTGTCAAGACTCTGCATCCAGGAGCAGTGAGGTCCACGTGCAGAGCTGCAGTGAAAGCACTGTGAGGGGACTTGGGGACAGTTTTCCTCAGGAAGCAGGGACTCATCCAGGAGCGACGCCCCTGCCTCCCGCATGCTGACGCTGTTTTCGTGTTTGCCTCTCCTCCATCACTCTCTCCTGAATGCTTCATGGACACAGGGAATAATGCTCTCCTTCTTAATGTCACAGCTACATTAAACCAGTTACATGTAATGTCTTCCCTCAGATCCTGGAGGATATTGTAAACAAGGGACAGTTGGGGAGAAGGGACTGCATGGAAATCTCCCCCAGAGGTTGGGGAGGAGACCTCAGAGGTCTTCTGGTCAGCCTCTCACCCTCTTCGTGCCTCTTCTTTCCTCTTCTCCCTCCATGACACCTGAGTGGACCCATCCCCCTTGCCTGGGAGAGCCCCACGATCCTTGGCTGTGATCCTGTCGAGGGGTTTTTCTTTTTTTCAGCTGAGCAGGTTAGTCAGCTTGGCCTGCCCTCCCTCCCTCCCTCCCTCTTAGAAAGGTGGGTGGGGGTACACCGAGGCTTTCTTGTACTCAAGGCTGAGAACTGAGATACATTTTGCTGGGACCAATTCTAAACGTACTAGAACATTGAATAAGAGATATGGACAGGAAACAGATATCATGTAAGGGAAAACGCGCTTTACCAGCGTGTGAGGAGAGGAGCTGGTTAAATGCACGTGAATACGCTCCGGAAGTGGACCCCTTTCTTCCCACCTTGCCACGACTTCTGAGGGTTCTGAAAGCCTTTGACGGACAATCCCCACCAAAAGCGCCAATAAAATTAAAATGCAGGTGAAAGCGAGGTGAAGGCATGTCTTGCATTTTTCTGAGTGCAGACATGTTATTGAATCATGATTATCCTCCTCACATGACACTCTTTGACAACCGAGACAATTACATGTTTCTGTCTTTAGATTTTTAGATTATGCCCCTTTATTGGCTTCATCCCGTATGTATTATATGTGTAGACATTATCTCTGTATTAAACTTCCCTTCCTCGGTGTGTAAAGCTAGTGTGTCTGTGTTGTAGAAATATTCTACATGCGTTAAAAAAAAGCAAGACCATCAACAAGAGCACATGGGTATCAGGCTAAACAGAATTTCACTTTCTAAGGGGGGATGTCAAATTTCTAATACTTCTTCAAGATTCTTGCTTCAGGAAAAGGGAGCCCGTCTGAGAGGGGCCGAAGTTGCTGCTGTGCATTAGCTATGCTGAGGGGGGTCATAAATTTTGGTTGTCAGCGTTTTCCGTGACTTTGTGGTGAAGGTAGCCTAGCTTTCATGTCATACATGAAATATGTTAGATCCCATCTTTAATGTAGAAACCACAGTTGTTTGGTTACACTCTTTAAGGAGGTTGGTGGTCAGTGTTGCAATATTCGTGTGAGATTTAGTAAATTCTTCTGTTTTATCCTCAAGAGAAACAATTTACTCTGAGGCTAAGGAATATTTGCTTTTCCTCAGCAGTTTCTAAAGGCACGCATGGAGCACAACGAGAGGATGTGTTCCGCCCCAGCGTCTCAACACTGCATAAGCACAACAGTTCGCTTTGCCGCGGGCTCTTTGATATAATCGTTGTCTGTACCCTGAAAATATTTAGCTGAATCAAAAAGATACAAATCAGACAAGGAATTACAGCAAAGAGGAGTCAGGGAATAGTTCAGAGTGGAGCAGGGAAGTTTTATAAAACATAACATACGATTAGAAATCAACCTTTTAAAACCTGAAAGCTATTTTAGAGTTCTCTCCTGACAACCAGAAATTTCAGACAGTGCAGTTGCCCCTTTGTCTACTGGAGAAAATTCCCCCGGTTATTAAATATCAGTGGTTTTCATACCCAAATTTCAGATTTTCAATAACCAGTCTTCTCTACTATCATATAATGGAAAAGAATCTGAAAAAAAATACACACACACACATTATATATATATATATGTGTATATATATAAAACTGAATTGCTTTGCTGTATACTTGAAACTAACATTGCAAATCAACCACACTTCAATAAAGAATAAAATTTAAAAAGAATAACCAGTCTTCTGTGAATCAAAACTGAATTTGAAAGGAAGAAAGTTGTTTTTGGCAGTGGGGACTGGGGGGAACAATAGTCTAGACCTTATCAGATAGTTGGAGATTCACATTCTAGCTTTTCTAGCTTTTAACTTTTCCTTGAACAAAGGGATAACACTGAAATCAAAAAAGACATACCCTCAGGCGACCTCATCTCTCTTAAAGTTGCAGGGTGCCAAAGCCAGGCCATCCTCTGCAACTCTGTTTGCTTTGGTTCCTCTGAAGAGGTTCACTGGCTTTCTTAGTTTTTTAAACACATAGGGGGGAAAATGCTGAAATTTAGTATTTCCTTTCATTTTCATCCTCTTTGAGGGTTAGTGAGCAGGGCCTCACAGATCCCCGGGGGAGAGGTGGTGAGGGTCCATGGTTAGCTTCAGTTTAGCGTTGAGAAAAGGGAGGCCTGCCGGCTGGTGATAGGCTCTTCCCAGGCTCTGTGATAAGCCACCATGCAATGCTGCCGTCCTCGAAAACTGCAGCCATGTTCGCAGTACTTGGTCTCACAGCCTACACTCCACATAATGCTGGAGGTGCTCGGCTGCCCTGTGAGCACAGCGACCCGAGCTTCTGAGCTCTTCACTCTGTCTTGCTGGAAAGTAGGAAGATCATTTGTTGCTCTGAATGCTCAAAGTGACAGGCACTCTCTTCTCTAGTCGGTGCGCACATAGATCTGTTTCTTTGTGGTGAGCATAAGGAAGAGAGAAAAAATAATGATGTGCTCTTCGGGGGGAGGCGGGGTGGGTAACGCAGGTTGTGTCTGATAGAGGCGGCAACTGTGTCTAAAGTGGAAACAAAACCCCCAAAATGACTGTTTTATTTCATAAATGCCTGGGTCAGTGAGTATAAGCAACAGAAGGGTAAAGCAGGAAAATTTCACTGAGAATCAGGGGACCCCCACTCTGGAGGCCCAGCTCTGCCGATGAATACGGTCATTCAGTTTTTCCAGGTCTCTGTTTCCCCATCTGTAAGATGAGAACACTGGACAGGTTGCCCTGTAAGTCCCTTCCAGCCCTGAAGCCCGGTGACTCCGTGGGAAATCCATGGCCTCTTCCTTTCGGTTACAGAGCTCTCTGCTTAGGTATTTCCATGCTACAGTCAATATCATTTTCATTTCGAATGAAATAAAATATGTGCCATAGAGTGTACCTTTGGTTTTATCGGTGTTTTGACTGCCACAGAATTAGGAGTCGTGTCTGGGCGAAAGTGGACGTCACTCCTTTCTGGTTTTGCTCCAAAATATGTGTGTTTGGAATTATAAGAGAGTCCCTTAAGAAATTACTGCAGTTATTGCCTTTCTCCACTTATGCACTCCTAGCCTTTTAATAACTGGGAGCCAAAATTCCCTGACCAGTAGTTTTAATTTGCATTAAAAACAGATTGATTATTTACAGAAACACAAAGAATTTATGGGACTCAGAGCTGCTGCTCCAGCTTGGATCTTGCCTAATCATAGCTATGGAATCAATTAACAGTTCATCTGTGAAATGTGATAAAATCTTATGAGATACATATTGCCCAACAACCGAGAACGAGATGAAAGTATGCTCTGGAATAGTAACGGGGCTTCAGGGTTTTACAATCGCTGTTGAATAGAGTTCCATTAGGAACTCAGTATTCAGGATGGCCACAAAAAAAAAAAAAAAGCACCGTGTCTGAGCAGATGATAGAGCACTGAGTAATAAACCTGGCCAGCCAGTCCTGCTTTGATTAGTTTCCAACACCCTAGAAAAGGGGGCCATTTATTTAAGTGCTGTTGCTCATGGCAAATGAGCTTGTGGGGCTTGGAGTGGGTGGGGGGAAGGCCTGAGTGCAGAGCTATAAATTGCTGCAAAGCTAGTGCCTCCAAGAAGGGCTGCCTGGGAGGCCCGGGTAGTCGGCTGGGACTGAGCCTCCACGGGGTAGGTCAGGAGGTTCTGAGCGTTACCTGGGAATCTACTTTGTAAAACTAAGTTCTTTTATCACCGGGTTAGAGATCCTTTTTAAAGATCAAAAATGACTTTTCCTCCCATCCTTGCTACACCTTCAATTATATCTATTTTTGTACATCAGTGGTTTATATTGCTGTATCACATCAAGCTTTAAAATGTAACCTTCTGAAAGATCATAGGGTCTTAAGTGTCTTGTTTTACTCTTGAAAAACTGACTCTAATGATGAATGATTGACCCAGAGGACAAAGCCAGCAGATGCCAGAACAAGGGTAGGACAGTCTCTTGATTTTCCGGGGACCACTCGACAGATGAATTATTCCGAGGGGGCTCTCTCAGTGACCCCTGCTGGGGACACGGCATCCACATGTCATCAGCGTTTCATGTAATCATTACACATAACGTGGAGAAGAACATGTAAATGGCATAGATTTGAGACAATGAACAAACCCCAAAAGCTTTACCTGCATCCACCCTGGAATTATACATGCTGGTTTTTAGATAGATAAGACATGCCCAGAAGTCTCCCCAGTCATGCTGAGTTTCTTAGAAAATCGGCTTGAACACGTAGATTGTGCCCAGGCTGAGGATAAGCCACAGTCACTGCGAGCCTAGACTTCTGTGCTAGAGAAGAGACACGCGGGAAATTGCCCCAGTGTCCCCTCTCCTCCCCCAATGGGTTTTAGTGGTGTTCACAGGCTCTCACCCTCTCCCTCTCTGTTTTATCCTCTACATTTGCAGTTTTGAAACAACAGTGGGATATTTTGGGATGAAGCCAAAGTCTGGTGAGAAGGAGATCACACCCAACCACGTGTTTATGGTGTGGTACGAGTTCTGCAGTGACTTCAAGACAATTTGGAAACGGGAGAGTAAAAACATATCTAAAGAAAGGTAAGGCTCTAGTAGATTGACTAACACGCACACACCCGGAGCCTGGGAAACCTCCTTCTGCAACCTCACGAAGTGTGCCCACCTCACACAGTCAGTATTGCCTCTCAGAGCCAGTGGACACGGAGCGAGGATTATTGCCTCGGGGTTCGTGGGGAAATTCAAGGGGGAGGCTTACTGTCCGCACAAGCAGATACACTCACGTGATCTGATAAGTTACACTTTCTTAACCCCTTCCAATTACTAGCTAGTAAATGAAAGGGGAGCTGTGCTAATTTGCAACAGATTGCTTCTCTGCGGATTTTCATGTTGGCCCAGGCTAAATGAGGCAGCCTTGCTGTCGCAGACAGTACAGACAAATAAAAGTGAATGCTTTTCCCATTAATACACTGAACTTGCATCAAAGGGAAATCTCTGCGACTCGGGCCACACTTAACACAGTGTTGAAGCCCCGCTCTGGATTTACAGCGCCACTTCTGACTCCCCGTATCCTGCTGAGGACATCAAACTGTGTGCCGCTCGGCCTCATTGCAGCCTCCTGATTTTATTAGTTGGGGGTAGAAGGCAAACCTCGGCTCTGAATATAGGGAGGGCGTGTGTGTTCTCCTTGGAGAGAGACTGGATTTGGCCCTGTTTATTGGAAAGAAAGCATTTCTGCTTGATCGCAGTTTTGATTGGGTTGCCACTGTTCTGCAAAGGGTGTCATGGATCTAAACTTCAAACAGGTCTTGCTGCTACTCCTGAGAAACAGATGTATGAGAGTGTCATTCGAAGTGGAGGAGGAGACAAATGAAGGGAACCAGTTTAAGTGTAGCACCTATATCTCACTAAACATGGAGACCTGAAATTCCATAATTCAGTATTTTTGTGCTTTACTTTGTAATCAGAGAAAAGGTGTATACATAATGTATCTACACACACACACACACACACACACAATACACTAATATGTTTTACCTTAAAAAACTAAAGGGAGCCTAATTTAAAGATTTTTTGGACTCATTTTTTGAGTCTCTAAATATTTTCGTGGGGATTTCTTTCAAAAGCCTGTTTTTTTTCCTAAGGAAGTCAAAGAGCTTCAGAAATATTTATCAACACAATCTTCCCACCATTACCTCTTTTGGAACTTGGGGATTAAACTGAGTATATCCATTATGTTGAAAAACTGAAGCAGAGAAAAGTTAAGGGACATTGTTAAGAAAATAGATTGTTGATAATAACATGACAAAAATCCTAAAAATCTTGACATCTGACTCACTGCTCTTGCCCTGCAATCACTTATTTTGCCCTTTAAGCTAAAGTAAGCTTCCGTGGACTACATTCTGTGTTTGATGAGTCTCAGAGGAAAGTGACAGAACCAAGCTCTTGTCTCTCCCACAGGGTAGCAGCTGGCCGGCCAGCCCTCCGTGTCCCCACCCAAAGGCCAGGGAATCCCTCGGTGGGCCTTGAAAGTCCAGCCTTTGCTTAAGATGTTACGTGTTCAGATTTTGATCATAGCCCTCAGTGACTTTGCTTTTGTTGTTAGAACCCTAAAAATGATTCACAAAAACCAACTGGGAGAGCAATTAATTGCTTTTCACTTCAATAATCTTCTGTTGAAATAATGAACTGTATTCCAAGTGGGGGAATTTTTCCCTATCACAGAAGTTAGACCAAACCCATTGTGGGCCTGCGGTAATATGCAGCCGCCCTTCAGGATGACCTGCTCTCTGATTCCTAGCGATGGGCACTTACAGCGCTGGTTCCCGGGTGCAGCTGGTGAATTGCCCACTTCACACTCTGTAAACCAACACCTTTAAAAGGTCATGACTTCCCGGGACCCTTTTCAGTTCTTCTCAGTTAGCAATTTCAGGGGTCTCTTCATCCCAGCCGTACTTTGTGAGCTAGATCACCAACGTTTCTAACCTAAAACATCTCTGAAAGTTAATGATGGCTCATAAAATATTTGTGGGGGCAGCCTGTTTACAAAATCTGCTTGTTAAGCGATGTTAGCACGTTATGCGTATTACTGCTCATTCAGTTCAACAAACTGGTTAGTATCCAGGGTTTTCTCATCAAGTGAGGATTTTTTCAATTGTTCTCTGCCTGCTACGGATTTTAGCTTTTAAACTGTTGGAATCACATATTCATTATGGTGAAGTAGGCAAATTAACTTGGTTCTACGGTTATAATCAAATGAAAATCAGTATGATTGCTTTGTTTTGACCCCTATTTAATGATATTTGATATTGTCACTTTTTACTATACTTTCCCTGGAATTCCAATAAATCTTAACAACACTAAATGTCAGGAGGTAGCATAACAGTATAAAAATATCTTCAAAAATTAAGTTCATGACCAAATGAAAACCTGACAGCCTGTAATTATTAGGGGAAAAAACTGTAGTTTGGGATTCCATCCAAAGGAATTTCATCCACTTGATTTTTAGATGTATTTGTAAGGCCAACTAAAACCCCTAGAATCCTTGGGGAAAATTAAGAATCAACAATAGTATTTTCAATGGGACAGATTCACTCCCAAATGAAATGGAAGTTTTGAAAACTAGTTCGGGCCACTTGAGGTCAATTTTAGGTGACGCAGAATATTTCCATCTTGTTCTGCTTAGTATGGTTTCCATGAACGCACACTAGCTTGGTGCAAAACTGAGATGACGCAGCCCCACAGCCGAGTAACAGCCACCCCTCAGGAAACTCAGAACGAAGCCTGAACACACAGATGACTGATCAAGACATCTAATGTGCTTGCGCCTTGCGAATGAATGACAAACCCTATTATTATTGAGCTGGTGACAGGGCCCAAGTCTGTGTTTGAGTAGAAGAGAGCTAGTATTTCACTGGGGATGTGGCTCCCCCGCAGATTAACTCTATTGGTAGAAGAGCGAGCTATTAAATGATGGTATATTAATGGCGTTAAACCTACCCTTGTCATGTAAGCCAGTGTTAGGCAAAATAGCAGACTTGGGTGTCCAGGCACAAATCCAGAGTGCCCTGCTCCCTAGAGCTTCGGTCTGTGACCCGCACAGCCCTCATGCTGCCCCAAGTACTGGAACTCATCCTCCAGTGAAATGTGCCGGGCCCTTCTCTTACCCATCCTGAGTACAGGCAGTGCTCAGTACTGTTAAAAAAAAAAAAAAAGACCTCTGCATAAAGGGTTGAAAACCAGTATTTTAATGCCATTCATTTGCTTTGTGATCTTGGGCCAGTCCCTTATTGCCGGGGGACCCAAATATCACATCTGTAAAATGCGTGTATTGGGATGAAACAGGAACTAAATGTTCACCACAATCTTTTCTAGCTCAAAAGCCCTATGAATCTAGAAAGTACTTTTTTGGTATTTTGAGAAACTGCGTGTTTTATTTCTGAGATAATGCCCCTCACCTTTGCTTTTGAGCCCGTAAGGGACCATGCTAAAAGACGTTTCAAGGCATAGTCTGGTGGTGAGTCGGGGAGAGATATGGGGCCACAGAGAATTGTAATTGTCCATTTGGATTTGGTAAATGCTTTCAGTGACCTTCCCTCACACCCCCAGTTCTTCCCCTAAAATGCTAAGGTTGGTCTTGAAGACCACAGTTTTGAATTGGAAGCATGCACACAAAAAATCTTTCCCCCTGTTTGTCTGCATCCAACATCACATGTAGTGGTTGATAAAATGTCATCATGATTCTTATTCTCAGAGGCAGCTCTGCCTCAGTTTGACTTTTTCATGCACTTTTGTATTTGTGCCTCTTGACAGGCAAACACTGAACAGAGTTCTGTAGCACACATTTCTTCCACCTATTAAGTCAACAGGTTACCTGAGCGTGTACGTAATTGCAAGGAAGTAACCTAACTTTCGCTGCTACCTTTACTGACTATTCTTCACTCACTTTCTGCTTTTTCTTTTTCTCCCCCTGTTGAATTGTTCTGAGATATACAACCTCCCTCATGAAATTTCCCACTATTTAGGATATGTTAATACTGCTTCCCACATATGCCCGCACGTGCACACGCACAGGCCACAAACCACTACTGCCCACAAAGTGAGCTATGAATTTGCAAAAGGTAGAGAAGTCCCAGGGGAGTCATGACTCCAGGAATAAAGCCTTGGCAAATAATTCACCCTGAGCCAAAGCAAACTTTAAAAGTGCCATTTAAAAACCCGTAATGGGTAAGTAAGGAGCGAATGAGGAGTTTGCTGAATTTTAGGCAAAATGCTAATAAGACATTTCATTATATACGTAGCTGTAGTTTACACCGTGGAAGTAATGAGTGGTTATGGGAATGGACGGTTCGTTTGGGTTTTGCTTGTTTGCTTGTTTGTTTTAGTTCAGCTAAATACCAACAGGATTTTTGTTGTAAGTGTATTACTTGCAGCTCTGATGGTTAATGATGCAACTGCAGGTAGTTCAGGGCTGTTGTGGGATTTATCCCATAGCTGTTCTCAGAGCTCCCTACTGCTCAGCTCACTTTAGGACCAGGAGTTGGGGGCTAAAAAGGCGGTCACTTAACTCACAAATGAGCTGTTGGTTGTCATGTAGACATTGAAGGAATTCCTCTCTTTATATGATAGTTATTCCTGGAAAAATTTCCGTAAACTAAAATTTTTATTTATCGAATTCTGCTTTTCTACTGACATACATTCATGATAACTGAATAAGGTAACTTTCTTTTCTCTAGCCCTCTGTTATGTGGTCAGATGGTTTGTGTATACTTAACTGCTAAGAAGCTTCATATTTTAGAAAACCCCTTTAATAAGAAAAATAATCACCCCCAGTTAACAGGCAAAATTTTGACTTTTGCTAAGTCGCATTGAAGGCCGTTCTGTACAAATACATGAAGAATAAATATCCCAGCAAGCTAACTTACAAACAGAATTTGTGATTCTGATAATCACAAAGGATAAAACCTGCTTTTTCCCCAAGCAATAAATTTAAAACAACTTCCGCAAAATTAAAAATAAGCCATGAATAAGGAGAGGAAATAGTGGGCTTTTAAATGGTAAAAATCATAGGATCATCGATTTTT